TTTTCCGTTTTTGACACATCACAACCTCCATTCAACAATCATTCAAAATGTTATTCAATATCTTACAACATTGTGAGAAAAAAAAAACTAAATTTTTTAAACATTTTTATTGGAATGGTGTAATACGGAGCTTTGCTTCTATAGTTTTTACTTTTCTGAATCTTTGATAATGAATAACCACCTAATGGATTCTGAAAAACGTTAGTGATAGATGAATTCATGAATGTATGAAAACTATCCATTTACATAGTTTTAATATATATACTATGCAATTCCTTAAACGGTATTTTGGCCTGAAGAGACCTGGGGAGCCTTTTTCAAGAATGCGTGTATATTTAACTTTGGAACAATCTGTAAAGGCAGGTGTTGCTAGCCAAAGAACAGGAATCAGCCCATTCAAAAATTCGATTTTGGCTCGATAAACCATTAATTTATTTTCAACATTGGATCTGCCGCCAAGACAGCCACTATGGTAAGAAAGGACTTTCTATTAACTGAACAAATATTAAAAAGAGGCTGTTTCAAAAATATATCACCCCAATTCCGTCCTATAGCTCCTAGTAATGTTGTCATCTGCACAGATGATACTGATAATTCTACAGGTAATATAGATTTTATTGTTCCATGGATTTATGCTTGGAAGTAGGTGTTTATAGAAACCAACATTTCGTTATATAAAAGTGAATGAGTTACACAAGAATCTTGGAGCAACGTTATCACCAGCATACCACACTCACTGGCTTTGATCATGCTGCATCATTTAGGCAGAAAGGGGAAGTTTGTACTTGTAGAAAAAGCTGTTGATGTCCTGAAAGCCTTGTCTGACCTGGTGTAAATACTGTTATTGAAGGACCTGTTTTTATTATCTATCAATTGAAGATATCCATCTAGAAATAGTTTTAAAGAAATACAAACCAAACAAATGGCGATATATGTCTCTCTAGTATTAAAGGCATAGAAGCGAGCTCTTTGCTGTCGTGCCCATGCATATTAACTTTGAAAAACAAGAGAGGGAATTATACTTGTACTGTACGGATACATGCATAAACGAATAATCCCCCAAACTGCCATTCAGAAAAATAGCGGATGTGTTTTAAATGATGACGAGTTGAATTAAAGTGGTTTGATGGATCAGTGGACAGTATTTGCGTAGATGAAGATGATAACCAAGAAACAGGACCGTAACTAGCTCAGAGCAATGAGGGGGGCGGGAAGAATGGTGCTGTAAATTTGACGAACAGTGTATATCTATTTTGTTTATGACGACAATTTTTTCACAGGGGGGAGGGGCGAAACTGACGAATAAGATGACGAATAAAAAAATCCCTATGAACATCGACAGCTTTTTCTAATCCTTTCCAACTAAAAGATGCAGTACAGGCAGTGAGTGCGTGATTTGCTCCTAAAGACTCTAAACAAGATGTAAAGACACGCATTGAATGACTATTTACCTATCGAATACACTGGACTGATCCCTATTCTTTGGCTAGAAGGAAGCACATCTGCGTTAACAGTTTGTTCGAATGTCAAATCTACAGACATTCTTGAAAAAAGCTTCCCAGTTCTCTTCGGCGCAAAATACCCTTCAATAAACGAATGAACAACCAAGCATAGATTGGCTTACAGTAACAGGCAAAACAATAATGGGTTAATTTTGACAAGCAGTATAATTCGTAATCTTGTAGCTAACAGACATACGTTCTAAATTTGTGTTAGTATTTTAAATCCTGCTGCGGTTCAAAACGGTATCATTGATAATACATTATTATAAGCTTTATATAGAGGGAATGGGGTGGGGCTAAGTTAGATCTTTGTTTCTGTTAACTTTTAGCCATGTAACGGATGACCATATTATTAGCCCCATTTTTAGGGCGTGGTCTGGCAGACTTTAGAGCGATCTGACTTGGGGAAAGGCCCCAAACTTTTGGTTAGATTTTTGAAAATTATGTTTTCCAAGTATGGATCTTTATTTCTTTTAAGTTTCAGCCATGTAACTGTTTGCCACATTATTAGCCCCGTGAGAGATATTGGGTGTGGTCTGACTTGGGGAAAGTCCCAGAAATTTTGGTTAGATTTGTGAAATATTTACTCCAGCTATGGATGCCTTTGCTTCTAGAAAGTTTCAGCCATGTAACTTATGACCTAATTTTTGGCCCCTTGAGGGGTACTTTAAGGTGTTACTGTGGCTATATGCCCCAGCAGTGCCTGATATGACCAGTTGTGTTTTACTCGTATGGGCACGCACTACAAATTTGGGGGTCAAACCTTTTGTAATTGATGACCATATTATTTTGTCATTAGCTCCTTGGCTATTATTGATCAATGCAACGCAATAGGTGTCAGATATCCGAAATAAAATCATTATTATTGCAGTAAGCTGCATTTCTGAATGTTGTCACATTTGTACACGCAGATTCTTATCGTAGTACACAAGCACATCTAATATGCATTAACGTGATAGGAATATGTGATTACGTAATGACATGGCGCCTGGATTCTACGATCAGAGCAAATATATCGTGCCCAAGTCCATCAATGCTGTAATTAGAAAGCACACAGCATATAAATCTATAGACCTATCAGTCTGCTACAGTATTAAAACAGTGTATTGTTATGGGCAATCGGGAATGATATATGTGTCTCCAGGTTGCCATATTTAGCTGAATAGGATGAATAGGCCAGAGTTGAAAATAAAGGATATAATGCGGTAGTGAATAACATATCAGTTATGATTTTGTGATAAACGGACAATCACCTATGTTGAGCAGACGTAAATCTAATCCGAATATCACCACAGTTTCCGTAGATCAAAGTAATTTTCGTGTATCATAAACATAACACTTTCTCATTTCCTTTAATAGGGATGAAATTTACGACGTAAATATTTGCGATGTTCGGGTTATTCAAAAATACTAACTAAAGTTATTGAAAGAGGGACCCTCGATTGAACTCTGTACATTAAGCGCTTAACATAATACCCTGCATATTTCATCACTAATTTCGATTGGCTAGTGACCGAGCTTGGGACCTCTCAGATTCTTCGATAGAAAATATCATCGCGAATACCAAGTCTCGCGCTTCCCAGCTAAAATGTCTACTTGTGATAATCGAGTTGCAAAGTTCAAGGTTCGTTCAATGTCAAGGTTTCCTAGAGGTAGCAATGTTTGATTTGAGTGTGTTTGTGTCATGATCTCTGATTGGACATCCCTCTTGTTCACGTGTCTGCGGTAAAGGGAGATAACGTACCTATAAGTTCGGGAATTTCAGACTAATCTAGCAACGGCTAGATATTGTAAAACTCGCGGTCATTGCTTTATTAACATGGAACGTGGATAGCTTTCTCCATTATCAATCTTTACTTGTTCCTCGGAATATCCATAACATAATACCCTTGATGCAAAAGGCAGCTAGAAGCCGGGGCTAACTAGGTGAAAATCACATCGCTGAAAGTGACAATGACTTTTATATCAAATGACCCTTCTGGGTATTTGGGCTAGTTTGTAATAAGATAGTGGTATTTTACCACGACATTAAAACAGCCAGCAGACTTTCTCCCTCAAAGTCACTGCTTTATCACATTTAATGTCAATTTCTATAACAAAAAATAACTCTGATCTTTGAGAGTGGACTAATGCAAAGCAAACAAACCCGGATTCTGTGAGTTATCGTTGTATAATATTGTATAATATAACTCTTCCCTATCCTATCAAAGAAATCAAACCATTACATGTTATTGCCATTTTGGCATACATGATAGTCCATTTGGCGCGGTCAGTTGTTTTGGGGTTTTTTTTTTTAAAAAAAGGCGAACTATTTTTGAAGGTCAGCGTAAGGAATTTATGAAAAAGGGCGAGGGTCCCAAGAACATTCCAAGAAAAGTTTTATTGGTGGTTTCTGGTAGAATTGGGTGTAGAGAATGACATCCTAAAGTTTACCGAAATGGGAGTACCGGAAATCCCAAATTTTGAGAGTAAAATTGTTGTTTTTTTTTTAAAATCATTTTCCTTTAAAAAGTAAGGCGGGCGGGGGGGGGGGGGCAAATGGTTAGCGTGTGTGCATTGTATCATAAAGTCTGTCATTTAGTCAACTGACGTGGTTTCGGTTGGGAATGATCATGATACACTAGACGCATCTTCATCTCGTCCCCAGAAGAACTGCGATCATATTTCCAGGGCGGTTTACAATAGCTATAAGATGACAACCATAGAAAGACGTGGCGCAATAGTGGATCATAAATAGTCCATATTGCGTCATTGTAATGTCAGGTTTAATTTTTATGTAATTCTAAAGATCCTTCGGTGTCCTGCTGTTTTAATATATATTAGGGCCTTAAACCAACCGTTTAAAATTTTACCATTTTTTACCGTTTTCCGGTGCTCAAAATTTGGTAAACGTTTGGGATGTTATAAAGTACACTTACATAAACGCAAAAATGCATAAAAGCGTTTCCTTGCCATTTTGTTGGTAAAATCATAAATTGACTGGTCTAATGGGATGAAAGGCAGCTTCTGTTTGTTCAGTGAAGATGTCACAACCCATCGACCATAACAAAGACATGGGTCTATTTCCTAGATAGGGCATCTGGGGGTATTTTCTAGATACGCCAACATTGACAAGCTCTGTTATTGAATAAAGTTGAAGTTGAGGGGGGGGGGGACTCAGGCTGGTAAGGTCGCTCACCTAACCTCGTGGGTTTTTTCAGGTCCTCCGATCCATGCCCCCACCCTCTCACTCACCACTAAAGACCCCGACGCGCAAGCAAGTTATCGAAATAAAGATATGCCATAAAATGTTAGTTTCGAAATTACTTAAGAGGTCGTGAAACCCGTTCGCCCTCTCTCCAATGAAAATAATACAATCTCCAGATTATATGCAAATAGATTTTTGACTTTGGCACGACTCCCACAAATCAAACTCAGTATTAATTTCAGATAAAGAACAGATAATTATTGATCTGCCTTCCCGGACACGTGGAAGCAATAAATAAGAATAACTATATATCAAAGAATAATATATATTTTATTTATCACGTGTTTTTACATGTGAAGGTATAAGCAGCTCTTTAGATTCCGAGCTTAACACTGACAAATTTATCAAAGCTACAGTGCATTTCAGAACTGAGAAATGTTTTGGTTTTTTTAAATTAGATTTTTTAAACCATCGTTATCATTAAATGAAAAAATCAAAAAACCAATAAAGGGAACTAATATCATATTAGTACTCAAATTGTTCATGTAATAAAAGATGGTCGGCTTGATAAGATTATTAATGTATTTTACAAGAGGCGGACTATACAGGAAAGAATTGCTTTGAATGAATAATAAGCCGTTTCTAGGGGAAGTAAGAGAACAAATTCAATACCAAGCTCTGGTACATTATACAAAGAGTTCAAAGATGGTCGACTCATTTAACAACCCCGAAGAACAAGCAGGAATTGTCTAAGATTCATAACTCGCGTAGAGAATTCGAGCATGACATGTTATTTAAAACTCTGACATTTTGTGCTCCAGGAGGCGAAGAAATATCATATTCTTCGCTGTAAGTTCTAGACACGAATCTGTTTTGACAACTACAAAACGATATGTTAAAACTTGTCTAGATTTTGGTCGTACCTAAACAGAATGGAAAATGATAAGATATTAGTACTGGGAATTAATTATTAGAAATATTAAGAAACTATAAAGTCTGGGTCTTTGGTTTTTTGTATTCTGCATCATTACTGATATTTGAACAATATGATAAATATGATGTAGTCTAGTTCCCGTAATCTAGAAAAACGAAAATTCGGGATAAAAGTCCGCTATTTTTCTCAATTCTTTTCTGTTTTTAATTTCAGACAATTTCTGAGAGTCTTAAATAAACAGCCCAAGACATTGGCTTAATGATTTTACACTCTGGGCGAGATGTTTTGTTCTAAAATTATATTGAAGAAATAAAAGATACCAATGTTCAGGTGACTTTTTGGATTGATGACTATTCTAATCTATTCAATATTTAAGCATCGGTCACGTGTTAACTGCGACTTTAGTTCCAAATGTTCTTTTTTCTAAGATTTTGAACTAAACTACTGACCATTGTTCTGAGATACCACACATTGGTATAAGATATACTTCTAAATCCTGAATCAAACTTATTTTAATGTGTACACTAATCACCAATGAACGGTTTGTCATTTCAACTGCAGTTAATTGTTTTCATTTTCTTAGTGGTCTGAATCCGGTTTCTAGAACTATTATTTTATGTGGTTGATTTTTTCCCCACGTTTTAATTATGAGAAATTTATGTGTTTTTTAATAGGAAATAATTACATTAATAACATTAAACCCTGGAGAATCAAATTGGTTACTGCTAATTTGTCTCCGGTCTGGATATTTATTAAATATAATCCATGATCGAAAATTGAACGTCTGCTAGAAACCGGATACAAATATATTTTATTTCCACAGATCAATATTGTTTAAAATATTGTTTTAATACAACAACAAAATAACACAATTACATATACATGCTATATACAACATATGTACAATATAGTTCAATATATGTTTGACATGGGTGATGTTTTGATTTCATAACTCAAAAGCCAGTTTTATCGTAAATTGGTTTTGATTAAGTCAGCTACAAAAATTGGATATTAAAACTACACGTTTTCGATCTAAAACCTAGCTTATGTCGCCCTACGACGCGACAAAATTGACGTCGATTCGAAATCGGCGACTGGTTTACGATCAAGTGGAACTGATCAGTTTTGACTACCTGTGTGACGTGGGCGCTCTTACGACTGGTGTAAGTCGCCGTCGACTCCAGTTTCTCGGAGTCGCACATGTTCTACTCCTACGACTGGAGATAAATAGTTGTCCCTAGTCGCAAGCGACATGAGCGTGCCTGCAACTACCTTGAGTCGGCGCCTCGGTGAGGCAGCCAATACGATTCGGTTATTTAGTCACGTGGTACCCAGGGGCGGTACAAACATGGCGGACACGTGGAATGAGGACATTTTGAAGGTTATCACATGGCAGTCATGTGATCAGTTGTGACCCCGGTTCTGCAACTGACGCCGGGCGACATGAGCGCGCTTACGACTATGATCAACTGGTTGTTCATGGTTGCATCCAATCGTGGAAATATTGGGTCGTGGCGAAATAAGCTCCCAGTTTTCGTTAGTCGTTAGGCGACGTAAGCTAGGCTTAAGATTCCAGAAAATATTATTCCACAGTGTCAAAACTTTCTAAAGAATTAAAGATCAAAATGTTGTTAATATCAATGTAAACGTAAACATCTAAATGGGCTCGACTAATCTGAGGAAAATGCGTTATATTCGCACGTGCGAAAATCGGTGACAATTGATGGATATAGATCCAAAAATACTTGTAGATGACTGTTTTAACATATGACTTACAAACAAACAAGGACAATATAGAACAGGGTATTATACACAAAAAATCTATGTACACTATTTTGTGGCCTTGTAGTGGGCAGCTATATAGAGAGAGTTAATTAAGGTAGGGTGCTAAATGGGTGTGCTAAATTCTACAGTGGGTGCAAATGCGTGGGTAACGTATACATAACGTTCAGAAGGCTATATGCCTACTTCTGGGTTTTGCTTTAAATTAACTGTACATATGTACAGAAAATAAAAGCATTAATATATCTATGACGTAATATATTACAGCATTTCTACTTCACGAATGACTACACGTTTAGGCGTATATCATAGCTAACTCTTACAAATATTAAGCTGACACTTTTATAAATATAATGGTAGAAAACGGGTTTGTCAACTTAAAAATCTGTTATTGTTTCTGGAAAGGTAATAACATAAACAACATCGTATCTGGTCATCCCCAGCATTTCGTTTCTGTTCAACTGTGTACTGTTTTGTGAAGTAATCACTTTAAATTGGTACATTTTTTTAAAAATCCCAATATGTATAGGCCTTTATTAATAATCCTCTTTTGTTCCGTTCGGTTATATATAATTTTGTTTAAGGGTTGTTTTTATGGGGTTTTTTTCTATTATTGTTTGTCACTTTTGTCTGAAGTTATTTTAATATACAAATCGGTAATCGTCTAGATTTGTTATCATTTGTTTTCTGCGATAACTTTAGTATCAAAATCGATAATGATAATCGTCTAGATTTGTTATAAGTTTATTCATTAAATATGCAAAAATACTATTAAACGACGGATTAATAATTGAACCGGTAAAACAAATTTTGTCAGTTCTTAAGTAATATTGCGATACTAAAGTACTTATACAATTAATAGCATATAACATATACAATATAACATAATAATAACTACAATACATAACAATAATAATATAACAATCGGTGGGCAGTATCGTTCTTGTCTAGTCAAATAATGTCATGACTTGGTCTCCATAGATAATCTTAAAATGGGTGCGGTACTATTCTCACGCTATCTGGCCACAGATCACCAATGATTTCCCCATCGACGTTAATGCTAATTCTCGTCTCTTAGACCGGCTCTAACTTTTTTCCCAAATTTTCGTTGGTAGAACGCTTTTCTACCACAGCTGGAGCAACATGTGACAACCTCTTGCCCAAAAGCATGAGGTTCATCATGAAAAACTTGAGACACACAAGTTGGAAGTAGAGACAATTAAACATGCAATATTCCGCCCTATATTTTAACCCAACCAACCTCTTAACTCTTGTATCCTTAAGCCTCAAAATCACGAATATGCACCAAAACCTGGCTGAAAATGTATAATCAAACCCTTTTCTTCAATTCTAAACCAAAAAGTCAACAAAGATCGCCATGGAAAAGGGAGATAAGGAGCAAGGTGGAGAAAGCCTAACAATAGCTTTGGCCCTTGTTTCGTTGGTGACGACGTAGGAATAATTGGTGAGCTGTGTCCATCTGTTGTACTACTATTTATGATAAATTATTTGGTTTCAAAACCAGTTAAGACATTTATCATGTGATATTCTAAGAACCACTCGCATACATGACTACCGGCACGAGATCACGTTTTTCACTAACAGCTAAAATCGTGTATCTAACAGATAACCAAATCATCATAGAATTTCCCAAAAAGACAAGAGTCCTCGAAAGGACACTGGGTGATAATGAGTATATCACTCTACACACCTGGTCAGGACAATAAGAAGTATTCAAAATCTCTTATATTACTCTTATAATCCGAAAATGTATGTTTAAGGCAAAACCTTGAAACCTTTACATCACAGACTATTTTAGAACAAGCACAATTTTTTTAGACTATCTACGGTTTTCATTCTCGAAGGTTATTAATTTCAATCAAATTTCTTTTAGAAGGGAAGTTCTCTTTGATTGATATCAATAAAACAATTATAATTATAATAAGCGTATACAGTTAATTGAAACAGTGGTCGTTAATTCAAACAGGGGCAATTAATTTAAACAGAGGCAATTAATTTAAACAGGGGTCGTTAATTTAAACAAAGACTGTTAGTTAAAACAGCGGCGATTAATTTAAACAGCGACTGTTAATTTAAACGGTGGCTGTTAATTTAAACAAAAGCTGTTAATTTAAACAGAAGCCGTTTGTTAGTTAAAACAGCAGTTTATAATTTAAACATAGACTGTTAATTTAATCAGCGGCAGTTAATTTAAACAGAGGTTGTTAGTTAAAACAGTGGCTATTAATTTTTCATAACAAAATGGAAAGACCGAGCTCCTCATTAAACACGAAATGTATTATTTATTATTTACGTTTCTCATTCCCTGAGCTTGTGCCATTCTGCAATTTGCTTTCTTGGGCAATTTATAACCTCGTTCCAGTGTGACACTTCTGTTGGTCCTGTTTTTGAGCCTATCTCCAGACGCCCCACTACTTCGTTTTTCGTCATTCGGTCCCAATCCAAAACGAGGAACTCCAAACTGATGTTTTGCAATCCCTCATTATAAGGGACATCGAAGAGGAATGATTCATTAAATACGGGATTTAAGGTTCTTTTCTTCACGTGTGTCTTCTTCTTGGCTATCCGTTGACCATTATACAGCAGATATATTTTAATGTAAGGATCTGAAGTGAAAGACAAAGGAAAAGAATATAAAAGAAATGGTTTAATGGAATATCAGAGGTTAATTCCCGACAGTCACGAAACAAGCTTGAACATCGAACTCTCTGGACCTGTAATGCTTTTGAGCGCTTTAGAGAATATCGCCGGTTAATTTCTACGTCGGGATTTGATTACACAATAGAAAATGGTAAGATCTTGTCAGACATTGAAGTCGATGACGCTCAATAACTTCGCCTACGACCCTGACATAAGTTATTTAGTAGGCTACATGAACTCGTGTCAATATCACTATGACCCCTAGAAAAGAGTTTTATGCGAAATATGGCGCATTATATCGTATCTGTAAATGACAGTGATGGACTATCTGGTACAGATAGATCGATCGATCATGATTTATAGAAGGACTGGTTGACCTAGACGATGTTATTTTTAAGTTTGCAGATTCGCTAGGAATCTACAGAATATATATTTCTGGTACATAATTCGATTTTATATATCAGCATAGATGAACACTAACAAGTGCAAAATTATGCAGGCTTAAGAAATCAACATCTATAAACCTCCCCTACCCCACCCCACCCGAGCCCCTCCGTCATTGGAGATTAGCAAGCGACGTTACAGTTATGAGAAATACCTATAACAGATGTATACAGTTCGTGAGAAATCAATCAGCTAATGCTTCTCGTACGATCAAAGCTTTTAACATATCACGATAGCAACATATGTATATACTTGAGAAAAGGCCTAATTCCCATAAATACCGTTAAGCTTCTCTTCCAATATAGTGATTAGCAAGAGATGGCGTTTTCCTTACGATGGTTATTTAGCCTACACGTTGATTACTTTTAAAATCCGAAAAACGGATATCTGTCCTTAACCACTTTTTTTCTTTAACTATGGATGTAAATCTACACGGACATAACAAAAAATGCGGTAATATGCTATGAACGGAAATCTGCACGGGCTTAGAAAATGCTCGGTTTCTTTATCAGCTTTATGGGATTTCTTCAGCGGCCTATAAGTAAAATTTCACCGCTGACATTGCTATATATTACAAGAAGAAACGCTCTCTAGTTGAAATGTATATTGCCTCAAGGAATAATAATCACATGCCTGGAGAATAACTATGGCAACAAGTCGTAAAGACGGAATACATTAGGTTTGACATAAAAATCACTCAAGACTGCACAGATAAAATTGCTATTGGTTTTAATTCGTTACACGCTTATTCCACAAAGCCCAGATAAACCATTGATAACATGTATAAATCGGCCAGGTTGCTGATGAAATAATAATCTAATCGACTTATATAATCATCATTAGCATTCACGCTTACAGCAAACAGATTATATAAAAGTCATTAAAACATATAGAATATCGGCAGAAAACATCATGGTGGATCAATTCGATTACGTTTTACGACTAGAGACGTCCTCCTGAATTATCGATGTTGTTACTAAGCGACATTTCCTAGCACCATGACAATTTTAGGATTATTTTGTAGGTGTTATTTTTTTTTTATAACTTTGAAGGATTTTATTCAGAGAGTCATTTTCAGGGAATTTGTTGTCAAAAGCCTGATGAAGATTTGTAGCTATATACGGATTGCTTATCGATTATGTGCCAGAAACCATGGCAATATGGAAACAAAAATACTACGGTGACGTATCATTTGCGACTGGGAATAAAGATCAGTAGGATATCGCTGTCAAACTCTCCAATTAGAGTTCATATACATGTAACAAAACTTCACGAATCTAGTTAGAATCGCTTCGTAATCAAATTCACCACTCTCGAGATCCCAAAAATATTGAATTAATCAAGTTCTTTCCCCCGCCAAGAGATTGTAGCAGAATACAAATCAAGTATGACGAAACTGGTAGCATGTTAGCTGAGACTATTTTGTAAAATGAAGAGAATCATTAGTTGACAAGGCCTCACTCAAAAGTAACCTACATCTGTAACTCGTATTAATTGAATCAAAATCGAGTATCAATTTAACCATGAGAGGGTGACAATAACAATCCGGATATATTTGATTAAATGAATGTATCGTTGCTGGCACAATATTCCATATCTTGGCCATTCCGAATTGGATTTATATGTTGTCGATCTCAGATCGATTAGTTATAGTAGACCAATATTTTTCAATGTTTTTAGCTTGAAATCAAGGTTAATGTGTTCGAAATGGCTTTTATCGACAAAGATGGTAGACTTTGCTAAGTATAGCTGACACGTGCTTTAATTTGATTAACCTTTATTCCTGTTGTTGAGGAATACATATAAACAAGGTTAACTGACTATCAATTATTTACCCACTACAGGTGTAAACAATTAGAATGAATATGAAATGGGATTTAACGCCCAGCTGTTCTGCGCCAACTGGCGCTACGACCTACTCTTATATCGAACTCCAACTGCCAATGGATCTTTTACGTGCATGCTAATGGGACCTCGGTTTTTCGTCGAATCCGAGCGACTAAACGTTGTCCCTTACCAGGCCCTCTATCCTGTATCATTGACAAGAGGGGACCACGCCGGAATCCCGATGAACTTTCTCGACGAACACCGGGATCGAACACGGGACCTCCAGGTTACCCAGTCAACATCTTACTCGCTGAGCCACCTCGGCTCCGTCACAGGTGTAAAGTACTCAATATGATTAAAACACAGATCCTGTTCCGATTTTTATAGTTCAACATTTCGTTTTACTTGTCTTTACTACACTAGGATCTGGAAGAGTTGTTATCATTGAGTTGTTATGGATGATGTGAGGGATTAGCCAAAGAAATGGTCTGTTACTGCAAGCTTATGGCGTGAGTTGCACGGATCTGTGGGTAATCCACTAGAAACATCAATGCTGATTGGTTAATTAAATATCTGACGCCATAGGATCAAAAGCCGCTCGTATGACCTCTGACGCGACGTCCCCAAAACAACTGGTCAGATCTTCATGTAGTTTAGGCCATCGAAAGAATAAAAAAACGAAACGAAATATAACTCTGTGTTTTAATCAGATTGTAAAGTACTAGATATATAAACAACGACACTAGACAGTATAAACTGGGAAATCTGTTGGAAATGTGTAAAATGAACCAAAAATTTATCAGTATGAATATTAAACTTTAAGAAATAATCTGGAATTTTCCTTTGTCTCCCGATTGTTAGTACTTCTCTTTTGTTAGTAATTTTGTTTCTCTATCTTTAGTACTTATTTATTTGTCTCCTTATCGTCAGTCACTTTTGTCTCCCGATAATTATTTATATTTAACTCTTGTCTCCCGTTAGTTTGTATCCTTAGTACTGTTGTCTCCTTGTTCTTTGTACTTCACTTTTGTCTCCCGATCGTTAGTACTTCTCTTTTGCCTCCCGATAATTTGTATTTCTCTTTTGCCTCCCGATAGATTGTACTTCATTTTTGTATCCCGTTAGTTTGTATCGTAAGTACTGCTGTCTCCGTGGTGTTTGCATTTCACCATCGTTAGTAGGGCTTCTTCTTTTTTGTCTCCCGGTAGAATTGTACCGTTAGTACTTTTGTCTTCCGATAGTTTGTACTTCACTTATGTCTCCCGATAGTTTTTGAACTATTTTGTTTAGAAAGTGAGAGTTGGTAGTGGTATGTTTAAAAGAATCAATATATTATGTATAACATACCTGAAAGTCCTGTTATATCCATCTTGGGTAAATTTCTGGCTTTTAGTACCACTACTCCTAGTCTGTTAGCTGCTGGTTGATAACATAACGATACCAATAACTCTCCTCTACCCTGACTTCTTAACTGAAATTCAAAAAAACAATATTTACAACTTGCATTGTTGATAAATCCAAAATCTTAGAGTTTCAATTTAAGGGTATAGTGAATAAAAATTTTAAAAAAATCATTCTTTGAAATACATGTATATTGGTGAATTTTGTTATTATCATTAGTGGAGTTTGTGTAATAATTTTGATTTTGTTCTACATGTAAATGTGTTATTATATATTCAAAGATATGATTGTAGTATATTTTGTGATAGAGATAGAATATCATATGTTTAATGGGGACTGCCATAACAATTTTTAAAGATATTTTAATTAGATCATTTGTTCAACCCTCAAAACTTATTTTTTTATTCAAAAGTATGGTGTATGTAATAATAACCGGGGAAAATAAATGATTACTCGTAAAGTGCATAATATACCGACAGGTCATTTATTATGCTATCTCAGTCTGTGCGTTACATGGTTTCCGGCGAATACATTGTAAACTAAGCCTCTTTTGAGATAACCATACAAATGTAATGGTTTTGGCAACAAAAAGAATTTTCCTACTAGTATGAATATATTTCATATCTTTAAGACGAACTAATGGATTTTTCCATTGTGGGGATTTTTTTATAAAATAATTCATATTATGCAATTCATTTAGTTCCGAATTCTGAAATTCTTTTTCAGCAAATTAAGAGGGATAATATAGGAAGAATACACGCCCAAGTAATCTAAATTGTCTTAATAACAATGTTTGGATTAACATCAAAGCTTATCTCAGTAAAATTATTGAAAAGACAAAACAAGTTTCTGATTTATCAAACATGTTATTGAAAAAAGGATGTGATGCATTGGGAACGTAATTGAATAACTGAATACAACGAGAAATCATCAAAGAACTATTATTGAATTTGAATGTGGGGTTGGTGGATCTGTTTTATTGTATCCCAATCAAACCACAATTCAGACTTTCTTATTTCGATCGTTCTATTTAATGGCGTCTGTACATTTATAGTTTACATTGAAGATGTGTTTCCAGAAATACAAAACAAATGACCGGAAGTCGTATTATTATCACTTTTTAAAAGAGCCGATCAAAGTTATCTTATGTGGTTACCCAATTTCGTTTCGTTTCTCAACATTGACCTAGTCTATGGGCGTAAACTACGTTATACACTGTTAGAAAAAATCTGGTAAATTTACATGAAAATTACTGGCAGCAAAAGTTGCCAGTAAATTTACTGTAAATAAACATTCAGCTGTAATATTACAGAGTTTCTGTAATTTGACTTTGTGAGTAAATTTACCTTAAAACAGTAAATGGAAAATAACATGAGTTTGTTTTTTAACTTTGAACTGTAAATTCACCGCAACACAGTAAATGAACGGTTACAGTAAGTTTGTTTTTAGACTTCCCAATGTAAATTTACCTAAAAGCAGTAAATGAAAAATTACAGACAAATGTTAAAATAAAACACAATGATTTTAACTTCCGTTCCAGGATTTTAGATGTAAGCTTGTGGTACTGTCTACTGCAGGCATTGTAACTCTCCTCTAGAGACAGTCAAGCTAACACTGGCCAATCGGTTTAATTAACCGTCTTCAATTGACCTTGGTTACGAGATAATACAATCTATGACAAGTAAGCAACACATTTTTTTATACGTTAATGAACATACTTACAATCTGATCAACGTACGATGAATAATAATACACGTTTTAGATCGTATAAATAAAGAAAATTAAATATATATAACATGCAATATACCAAATTGCACAAAATGTGATTGTCCATATTATGGTTAATAAATTAGAATGAATACTATAAGACAATAATTATTAGGAATGGTTCGTTGCTATGGAATACTAAAATAAAATAAGAGACAGTAAATTTACATAAGAGACAGTAAATTTACCAATAAGTAAATTTACAAAATAATGTGAATAAACGTAAATCTGTAAAATTACCTACTGGCTTTGCTATTTTCATTTCAATATTGAAATATTACGCATGTATTTTTACCGGGGTTTAATGTGCCTTTGGTTTCATCAAAGTTTATTGTAAAAAAGAATGAAACTTGGTAAATATACATCATTTTGGTAAACATTCCGAACATTTTTGGTAAAAATTTAATTGCTGTAAATTTACTTATATTTCTAACCTGAAAGTTTACAAAATAATGTGAGTAAACGTAAAATCTCTAAAATTGCATGCTAAGAGACAATAAATTTACCGAATACGATAACTACCAATAAGTTAAACATACATTATGCAAGAGCTAAATCTGCCTATTGCAGGTCTTTCTTTAGGCCTGATATGTTCTATAAACTATGAATTAGACATTTATTAACATGAAAAGACCATAATCAACTCATGGATGACATCTTATGTGTTGGATTTTCACTGGATTTGAGTCCGATCTGGGGCTCAACGCTCATTAATGATTAAATTCAAAAATAGATAATCAAGACTATGTTTTTTTTATCGTACTGACTTAATAAGTAATGATGATCGAGGCTAGGCCTAACATCCAGTCTCTAATATCTCGGTTCCGAGAGGATCAATTTGACAGAAATTTTCAGCATATTCCCATTACATTATCTAGTTTTTAACTATTATAGTGAGAACTGCTGTAATTTTATTTATATTTCTAACCTAAAAGTAAATTTACAAAATAATGTGAATAAACGTAAGATCTGTAAAATTACATGCATGCTTGTTTATTTTGAGTTCAGTTTGGAAATATTACATATGTAAGAATGTATTTTTACTGATTTTGAATGTGTCTTTGATTTCATCACCGTGTATTGTAAAAAAAGACACGAAACTCTGTAAACATACACGAAACTCCGTTAAAATACGCCAGACTTGGTAGAACTACTACATTGTGGTGAACATACCGATAATTAATGTACAAAAACTGCTTGTACTACTGTAATTTTACAAAAATTTCTAACAGTGTAAGAGCGGTGTATATGTCTATTCATTATATTAATCGACAATTGATCCTATAATCGTTAATTAATAAATATCTCCTCATATTATTAGATAATCCAACATGATTTCTCGCTTTATTGATGGATAAAAATATATATCTATTGAATCCTGTTAAATACTAATAAGGTTGTTGATAATACACACCTTTATCACTACAAATAATCTGAGACGTGACGTAAGGTGCTACCTATTATCTCTACAACCAGATATGGTTATTATAATGTTCCTGTATGTTGTATTGGTTATTAGAATTATGTATGCAATGAAGTGAAATGGGTTTTAACGCCCTACTTTTCTCCACCGACTGGGCTAATGAAGACAGGCGTACGCCGTACAGTGTACCATGAGGGATATTTTGTCCGGAGAGCAGATCTACGACCTACTCTTATTTCGAATTCCAACTGTCAAGGGTGCTTTTACGTCCGAGCGATAAGCTGACAAGGGGTAACTAAGCCGGAAAATCACGAGGAACTTTCTCGGCCAATACCTGGATCGAACCAGGGGCCTCCACTGCAGGTTAACAATCCAGCGTCTAACTCACCGGGTCACGACGGCTCCCGAATTATGTATGCATGACTTCCAATGCTCCTTCTTGTACGGTTAAAATAAAGAAGCGAAATGCATAGTCAGTTTTATTCTTAGATCAGTTCACTTATCAATTATAGTACAACAACGGAGAATTTGAAATTATTACAACTGAAGAATTTAATGATGAACAAAATAACCACAATTTTAGTTTGTAAACCAGCAAATAAAGTAAATATCTCAACCACATTTTTTTTTTTTTTTTTAAATTTAAGGAAAATTTTGTCGGAGTATACTATATCAAGACCCCGTATTCTAGAGAAATGACTGATTTTAAAGGGCATTTTACACATGTGATCAGATCATGTTTAAACAACTGATAAAGAAAAAACTGGTATGTTTTGAGATTGTGTGTATAACAGTAATTGATAACTAAGATGGTACAAGTTAAGGTGGTAAGGCTTGAATATAAATTGAGACCGTCTATGGCTGTTAAAGGAAAATGGTGGACCTACGCTAGGTGTTCACATATTCATTATGCTAACAATGAGAATTATGGAGATTTCAGTCACAAACAAACAATTTTTAAGATTTGTATATGCTGCTGCGCAATGTGAATTTTTTTCCTTTCATAACATTATTTACAACAACAATACGGTGATAGAGTATGAACCAACTATAGAAAAATATGCCATGCGACTGCACAACTATCAATCCGGTATCAAGCGGTATAGTAAAATTCACCGTCCATGAACCTTGTTGAAAACCTCTAAACAACTAGAAAATTGAAGGTTCATACGTCAACACATCAGTGGTGTCTTGGCAGATTTGTGTCATATTGTGCATACAATAAAATCTGAACATTACTCGAAAATTACTCACCATTGTTATCAACATTTACTTGTGAAATGCATATTTCTTTTTTCATAATCTTACATGTATTTTATTGATGTTTATCAAATTCTAACAACGATCGATTTTCAATTTAAAAAGATGACTTCAAATCATAACATAGAAATTACATCACTCGAGTCATCAGTAATTGCATAACGATCAACATCTGATGTCAGTCGTGACGAACTCATCAGATTCATTTAACGCAGTTTGAAGCTGTATTCATGTTCCGACATTAATGTTTCACCTTCATAAAAGAGAACAGATAACGTTCAAAACAAATAAGTTTTTATCTCTAATTTCAGGGAATGGTTCAGCAAAAATAGGCGGGAAGTAATAGGTTCTGAATAAAGTATGTGTGGGAAATCGATAGTTCCATTGTGTTTCATTGCCAGACCGAGTAGGACCTTCAAGAGAAAAACATTCCATACACTGACTGGAAAACATCACTGACAAACAAAGCAACATTTCAGTTAGGCATAGAAGTTTTTAAAGAAATCATTAAATGGTTAAATTGTAAACCAATTGAGTTTCTTGGGTGATAGTAGTCATCCAAAACATAATTGTGGGCGCTAAACAAAAATCCTTTACAGGATATTCGATTTCGTTGTGTT